TGTCGTAAGGCACGAAGAACCCCAAGTATGGGTTGTGCTGCAGTGGGAACTGGTTGCCGCAGCTGCCCTGGTCACCACGCCCCCGTACGCGCCCACGGCCACGGTCACCACCGTCGCCTTGGCGGCTGTTGTAGCCGCGCCCGTGCTGCTGGCCTTGGTTGTGATCAGAGCCGCGGTCGCCGGAGCGGTCGCCACGGTCGTCGGGGCGCGGCGTGAGACCTCCAGCCGAAGATGAGCCACCGTGACCCGAGGAGCCGCTGGAGGGGCCATCGGTGTCGTGGACGGCGAGCACAATGGCGCTCTCCTTAGAGGCGCGCTGGGCCAGATACTCCTCCGCGAATTTGACTCACGAGAAGACTGTCTCGAACGGCGTGAGAGGCACGGTGTCACAGAGAATGACGCGGATGGTGTTGAGGCGCTTGTCGAGGCCGTGGAGAAACTGTGTGGTGAGGTCCACCTTCGTGACGACGTGATCGATGTCGGCAAGGCCGGCGATGAGCAGCTTCATGCGTCACGCGTACTCATCAACCGAGAGGTCCCCTTGCTAGAGGTTGCGGTACTGGTGATTGAGGGTCATGTATTGAGTGGCGCGATTTGCGAGAAAATAGTCTCGGATCCAGTGCCAGAGATCATAGGTTGTGGTGGCACCGGTCACATGGTCAACGATGGCATCGGCAAGGGTGGCATACATGGACAGGGCAACATGGGCATCGAGCTCACGGTATTGGGAGTCCGCGTTGGGTGGAGGGGGGTGCTCGATGAGGTAGGTGACGCTGTAGCGAACGAGAACCATGAGAAAGAAAGATTTCCATTTATGATAGTTGTGATCGGCAGGGTTCAAGAGAAACTTGAAGTGGGCGGTGATGTCGGCGTTGAAGATGAGGTGACGAGTAGTAGGGGCAGGAGGCGGTGGGGACGGCGCCGGCAAGGAGAATAGCGGCGCAAACTAAGAGGTGGTGGCGGCGGCAGTGGTACTAGGGTTGGAGGATTGGGTGCCGAAGATGAATGGGGGGGAAGAGCTGCCGGTGGTATTAGGGTTGGTGTCGGCGGGGGTGCTTGCGGCGGCGGAGAGAGAGCCAAGCGAGGTGGCGGAGCTAGTGGCCGAGGAAGAAGAGGAGTCTGTAGCCATGGCGAGAGGAGCGTGGAGTCTGATACCAAGTTGAATAACTGAATTGCACACCCTATTCGATTACAGAGGGTTGCCCCGAATAGATACATGAAGAGCGCCCGAGATTAGTGGCACGCAGGCCTGGGCGACGGGTGCGTAATACGTCTCCAACGTATCTATAATTTTTTTTATTGTTCCATGCTACTATATTATCTATTTTGGATGTTTTATATGCATTAATATGCTATTTTATATTATTTTTGAGACTAACCTATTAACCTAGAGCCCAATGCGAGTTTCTGTTTTTTCCTTGTTTTTAGCTTCGCGGAGAAGGAATACCAAACGGAGTCCAAACGGAATAAAACCTTCGCAATGATTTTTCTTGAACCAGAAGACACCCAGAAGACTTGGAGATCAAGTCAGAAGAGCCACGAGGCGGCCACAAGGGTGGAGGGCGTGCCTAGGGGGGTAGGGCGCGCCCCCCTACCTTGTGGGCCCCTCAGTGACCCCCTGACCTAGCTCTGCCTCCTATATATTCACATATATTCCCAAACCACCAGAAGCATCCAAGAAAACACTTTTCCACCGCCGCGACCTTCTGTTCCCGTGAGATCCCATCTTGGGGCCTTTTCAGGCATCCTGCCGGAGGGAGATACGATCACGTTCTACATCAACTCTATTGCCCTTCTGATGAAGCGTGAGTAGTTTCCTCAGATCTACGGGTCCATAGCTAGTAGCTAGATGACTTCTTTTCTCTCTTTGATTCTCAATACCATGTTTTCCTCGACGTTCTTGGAGATCTATCCGATGTAATCTTCTTTTGCGGTGTGTTTGTAGAGATCCGATGAAATTGTGGATTTATGATCAGCTTATCTATGAATATTATTTGAATCTTTTTTGAATTCTTTTTATGCATGATTTGATATCTTTGTAATTCTCTTCGAACTATCAGTTTAGTTTGGCCAACTAGATTGGTTTTTCTTGCAATGGGAGAAGTGCTTAGCTTTGGGTTCAATCTTGCGGTGTCCTCTCCCAGTGACAGTAGGGGCAGCGAGTCACGTATTGATGTGGAGCATCCTATGGTCATCCCCATGGACCTACCATCGTCTCACGAAGTGCCAAGAGGACCTATGACTCGAGCTAGAGCTAGAGCTCTCGAGACCGAGGTGACTTCTCTCCTTAGTGATATTGCATATGATCCCCTAGAGACATGGCTACTACCTAAATTCGAGATGTTGTGCATGATCAGGTACCAAGAGGACCCTCCCGAAGATGCACGTGAAGATGGACAAGCCGCCAAGTCCAAGGATGAAGAGGAACGTCGAAAGGAGAAGAAGGCAGCTCCACGACCCGAACATCCGGCCCCGAGCCCGGACATCCGGCCGCTGGAGACATCAACTACAGCAGCATTCCAGCCGCCAAGCATCTACAGGCCCCGGACATCCGGCCCGGCCCGGAAATCCGGCCCCAACGCCCGGATATCCGGACAAGCTGCATACACAGGACAGATGAAAAGCCCGTCAGCCCGGACATTCGGCTTCTCCCGAAAGCCCGGACATCCGGCCCGACGCCCAGACGTCCGGCCCCGTCTGTCTACGCACAGTAAAGGGCCGAGGCCCATGTACTCTTTCGCCCCTCCCCCCTAGACTATATATACTCTCCTCCTACCTACGTTTTAGGGTTAGCGTTGTGATACCTCATATTAGAGATAGAGCCTCGCTCATCGACATCGGATCTACTCCACGAGAGAGACCGCGGCCCCTCTACGGAGAAGATCCCCTTGGATTCAAGACCCCCTTTTGGGTGGCCCCCATCAAGACCTCCTTTGGAGAAGAACCGGTTACCGTGTATCGTCCCTTGTTGAGCGTGGATCTTGTATCTCCTTTTGTGTTCATGGATCTAGCACATGTGTGATCGTTCTTGTTGGTTTGAGTGATTCTCTCGTGTTTCACCTCGTGTTCTTCGTGTTCTTCGCGGGATCCGCTCCTTTCGTGAAAGATCGGCCATCTAGGGTTCCACCCTATATCATCTTGGTATCTAGAGCCACGTTGATCATGATTTCGGAGCCTCCCCGTTGTGTTTTCTAGCCTTGTTTTGTTGATTTTCTTCCTAATTCGAAAATTCCCCACAAAAATAGCCCCAATCTTTTTTTTGTGATTTGTTGGTGTGATGAACTTTTGTTGGATTTGATCCGCGGATTTCATGTGTTGTAGGTAGATCTAGCTTTTCGTCATCTTTTCCCCAATTTCCATCCACAAATTTCCCCGAATTTTGCCTGGATTTGACCTCTCCATGCGAAGTTCACCAAGTTCGTCCACGGATCCAGAGCCCGGACATCCTGTCCGACAACCCAGACATCGACCACCCACGGACATCCGACCATCAAGCCGGGACATCCGGCCCCTGGCAGCATCACTTCCATCCACCGCCCGTTTCCCGTCCAATTTTGCCAAATTTTGTTCCGGTGCCCACATACACTTCCGGATACCACCACCTCTTCCGCATAGCACCGCCATATACTACATACACCACCATCGCTTACCACTACCAACTCCAACAATTTTGTCACGTTTGCTTTGAGAATTTGAGTTGCGGTTCCATGTCCTATTGTGTTTCGGCTATTTAGGTACGGTTCGACATCAACATCACCGCCGCTCATCTTCGCCACGGACGCGTAATCGATAACGACCACTCGACCATTTTGACACCATACCGTAAGCAAGAAGCGGTAAACTCATCTTGGTATAGTGATACATCATTCTTGCCATTACATTGCTAGCCATCATAGCCTTACTCTTTCGCGTCGCTTACCCATCGAGACTAGCCTTTGAGTATTGCCGGCAATGTGACTTGTGCACATTAGTGATCATACTTCCCATAGCATACATATATCATTGGTGCATATCTTGGTATCATCTCTTGTGTCACAAGGTTGTCATGGGAAATACTTATCTCTACTTTGCTGCATCACCCTTTCCTCTTCAAGGAAAAAATCAACGCAAACTCAATAAGTAGCAGTTCGATCCTACAATCTAGGACTGTACGTGACACACTAGAAGTACATGCAATGTTACATATTAATTTTTCTATCTCTCTGTCCCTCCATGTATTCTTCCTCACGGTTCAACAACCGTAGCCATCTGTAATCCTACGAGACCCAAAGTCTCGATCTATCAATAAATACTGCGCGGGCAACCATGTATGGGTGTTGAGACGCTTCCACCAAATCCAACACTATAAAGTTGTGCAAGTTAGATATCTGAGCATGCTTGGCGCTTGCTGAAAGAATCCATTGCTACAGTTGTGTCTGATAATATGATTGTGCGACCTGCTTACCAGGTTTGGAACTCCTTTTAGTATTACTATAAGTCTTGTTATGTCTCAGTCGACTGAGGCTTCGTTAAGTCTCAGTCGATGCTATATCCATAAGATCTTACATTGAAATCCGTGCAAAAAAATAATTCAGTTTTTTCTTTTTCTCTCTTGCATGTTATTGTCATTTGACCGAGACTTGGTTAAATCTCAGTCGACTGAGACCTAGCCACATCCTATAATAACTATACTAATCATTCATCAATTTTATTTTTGCACATGAATCGTCAACAATGGACTCGGACTTGTCACGCCAAATATTCTCCGCATGTCCTCAAACACGATGTAGACAAGACAAAGCATGGTTCCTGGTTCCTACATTTGGGTGGCAAACGGAAGGATTTTTAGAAAGAAGAAAAAAAAAGGCCGTTTGGGGAGTTTTTTTTTTTTGAATGCCTTTATGGCAGGCCGTTTGGGGAGTAAATATAGCTACGTTGTGAATCAGTTACTCCGATATAGCAGGGTCCACCTCAACAACTCAATGAGAATCAGTTAGGAAATGAGGGGGTCAGGAGCTTACTTTTGATAGGTCGATCCGAGAACCATGAGCCCAGCAGTATCAGCTAACTGCTCAAGCTCCTTGAGCGATTCCTCTATGCTGAAGTTATCTCTTGCGGCCCTCTTGCACTCGACTCCAACTAGGTAGGTCTTCTCTTGAAATATCTGCAGCAAGCTTCCAGTTTCAGTCCTTGGACCACACCATAGATTCAAATAACAAATAGAGTTACTTTCTGGAATGTAAGAAAACAGGGCCATCTCCGGTGAATTCGGTAGCTGCATCTAATTGTCTCATCCTCAATTTCTCACAAGCATCAGCGATTCTTATTTGTGCGGGGGCAATTCATGATCCTAGAGCAGCTAAGCAATACGAAGTCGTCTACCTCTTTGCCGTTGATGAGCTTGAACCGGGCGCGCTCCGCCGTGGCATCCTCTTCCTCCTGCTGCTGTCGTCGCCTGCTCTTCGGCTGCTCCTGGGCCTCCGACGGGCCCACAATATCAGCCTGCCCATCTCTTCCCTCCCGTTCACCGCCGTCTTCTATCTCACCGACACCACTCTCATCCTCGACCTCGGTCTCCGCTGGTGCGGGGGTTGGTGTCTCTAGCAGCCGCTCGTGGAGGGCCCGGACCACCCCGCCGCGGCTATGGCGTGGCTGGGACCAGCGGTAGGAGGCGTGACTCTGACAGCGTGGGCTCGAGGCAGCGGTGGAGGTGGAAGGGAGGGGGGGAGAGGCAGCGGTGAAGGACAAGCAGAAGCAAGCGGCTCTCATGGCGTGACGAGAGGACGCTTCTCTCTAGCTCGTTCTAACGGCCCAGTGGATTGGGTGAGGAAGTTGCGTCCGGTGATAACGTGGACAATTCTCGGCCATTGGATTGGATGCCGCGGGGGACGGTGTACCGTCAAGTTTGACCAAGTCTTGGAAATGTGGCAAAAATCATTATTCACTACAGCTAAGTTGTGTTCCTCTGGTTTTCTTGGCCACGGGTTATACCAAAGTTTTAGGCAAAATTGTTTGCCATGCTTGGTTTTCAGACGGGGGCCAAGCGGATGATGCTTGGTTTTCGGATCGGGGCTGAGCGGATGACCGTCAAGGGGTGATTTTGGATTCTCTCCGATGAGTTTGAGGACAAAGTCGACCCCAACAGTAAAGGTGGTTTGGTTCCTGGTTTGTGCTCTCCCTTTCTTTGGGCCTACGACTACCACGTCACGGGATACTTGGCCGAGGAGGTTGGGGCGATCCTACAGATCTCGGCTTTCAATCCGGCGCGAGAGGGGCAACGACGAGATGGCATGCAAGGATTTTAAGAGGCCATGGTGGGTGACTTGGTGTGCGGGGTTGTGGCTCGACGCTCTTCAAAGCCCCGGTGTGGACCTCTCTCGGTGGTCGGACATCCGATCATCACACTCACCAATTTTCTAGATAGTTTATGGACCAAGGTAATGCCTTGGAAAAGGAAGGGTAGGTTGCACCATGTGGCAGTGCATGTTAATCTTCAAAGTGTTCGTAATTTGAGGAGGGATGCCTCCTTACTTCCCCGATCTGCGGCATCACCATTGTCGGAGTCGGATGCAACCTTGGTGGATGGACATCGGCTGTTAAGTTCAAATTTGCTCGCATGTCGGACCCGGCTAGATGATGATGGGACAAATGTGGCCCATCAGGATCTGCATGCCCCCCATGACTCTGTGACAGGAATCATGCGTGGGACGATATTGATCATTTCCTTCCCTACTGCACCATGTGATTGACGTTCAGCCTTTGCGGCTTGTATGGATAAACTTGGGTTTAGGTCTCTGGGACGTGGAAAATATACACAGGTGTGGCAAACTTCGGATTCACACCTTTTTGTCAAAGCCGTCATGGCAGGGCGAGGCATGGAGCTGGGCGGTGATGATCGTGATCTTGGGAGTGCTCCTCCTCCCATGGCAGCACATCTCGTGCTGGTCCTGGTGACCGGCGTGCGCCACTGCCCAACGTGGTGGTTCCCACGGTGATGGCGGACGAGGTTATCGCAACGGTGGCCACATCAACTCTTATGGAGCCCGTGGTAATCAAGGTATGTAACAAGTTCGGGGCTCCTATGGTCAATCTTATGACGATTGCTATCCCTACCATGATGAGCGACAATAGCAAGTTTTCGAGGAGGCGCCCAAGACAATGTCTTTGGTAACTCTACCTACAAGGTAGTATCCTCAAGCTCATTTTCTGGACATGGTGCTTGTTGGAAATATGCCCTAGGGGCAATAATAAAAATATTACTTATTTCTTAGTTTATGATTAATGTTTATATTCTATGTATGACTACTATGGTTCTCGAGTCAGCGAAAACCAAGAGGCTCAGAGGAAAACACATGTGCACATGTAGAATTATAAGCGGTCAAATAGATTCCTAGTATTGCCTCTAGGACTAGCTTAAGTGTTGCATGATGGTTCTGTTTTCCTGATCAAAGGAATAATTAAGTGTAATGATGATGCCAACAACATTGAGGGAACGATGTTAGAAGGACACTTGTGCTGAATTGACCAAAGTTGTATATTATACTAGGAGATTATTTCATCACAAGTCAATAGTCCATAACATGAGAAACTTAACGAATGCATAATTACTTAGACCATGAGAGTATCGAGTCACCTCATACTTGACGATGCACTTTAGGGTTCTTCTAACATCACCCGTGATAGGGTGATCATAACGGTAGCTTATAGGTTCATCGAAAATGAATGACAAGGGACTAGATACTCGAGACTGAGATTTGCTCCTCTGGTGATGAAGAGATATTATTGGGGCCCTATCGGTGTGACAATATCTACCATGTTCTGTCCATACAAAGCGTGACTTGCTCACATGGATATCAAAACACAAGAATGAGAAAAGAGAACAAAACCGGTAACGAGGAGACTAGCATCAATTTTTGTAAAGTATTATGAACTGACAAGAATAGTGTGAAAGGACGTGGATGTCGCCTAGAGGGGGTGAATAGGCGGTTTAGAAACAATTGCGGTTTAGGCTCAAAAATTCGGTATAAAACTAGCGTTTAATTTGTCAAGAACAAAACCTAAATATATGAGGATTAACTATGTGCACTAAAAACTTATGCTAATCAAGATAAATAACTATGTGATAGCAAGATATATAACATGAAGCACTATGGCTATCACAAAATCAGTGCATAAGTGTCGGTGTCAAAACCGACAGACCTCGGGTAGGGTGGCCCGAGCTGTGAGATCGGCTCGATGGGTAACAAGAGACAGAGGACACGATGCTTTTACCCAGGTTCAGGCCCTCTCCAAGGAGGTAAAACCCTACGTCCTGCTCTTGCTTATATTATGGGAGTATCAAAGTACAAAGTTGATCTACCTTGAGATCGTAAGTTGTGGTCTAAACCCTAGGGGTAACGATGATGATGATGAATGAATGGCCCTCTACGGACTAAACCCTTCTGGTTATATAGGCACCAGGGGTAACCAGGGTCATACATGGTTGGTTACCATCTAGGGATTACATGCCGAATCTAACAAATGTACTTGAAGTACACCCAAGTCTTCGGTCGAAACAGACTAGAGGCCTCCGAAGTCTCTTCTCCTCTATGGGCTGGCACTCCGGCCCATGGACTAGACCGGCTAGGCCGGGACCCCTAGTCCTAGACACCTTTAGTATCCCCCGAACTTGTCTTCAAAGTCGAGGATGATAATCCTCTTCGGATAATGTCTTTGGCTGGATAGTCTTCGGCTTAGCAGGCAAGTTCAACGTGTTGGGAAACGTGGCATGCAATTTCAAAAAAAAATCCAACGCTCACGCAAGATGTATCTAGGAGATGCATAGCAACAAGAAGGGGAGAGTGTGTCCATGTACCCTCATAGACCGAAAGCGGAAGCATTTGACAACACGGTTGATGTAGTCGAACTTCTTCTCGTTCCGACCGATCAAGCACCGAGCGTATGACACCTCCGAGTTCTGCACATGTTCAGCTCGATGACGTCCCTCGAACTCTTGATCCAGCAAAGTGTCGACGGAGAGTTCAATCAGCACGACGGCGTGGTGACGGTGATGGTGAAGTGACCCGAGTAGGGCTTCGCCTAAGCACTACGACAAAAATGACCGGAAGAGTAAACTGTGGAGGGGGGCACACGACTAACATTTGTTTCTGTGTCTTCTAGGTGCCCCCCTCCCCACATATATATAGGTTGGAGGGGGGAAGAGGCAGCCAGGGGGCGCCCAAGTAGGCCGAATCCTACTTGGGCTTCCACCCCAATTCGCCCCCCTTTCCTTGTTCTCTAGAGGGAGAAGGAAAGAGGAGGGGGAAAGAAGGAAGGGGGAGGTCGAATCCCTCCCCTTCCTTTCTCTCTCCCCCCTTTCCTTCCTCTTACTATTCGGCCTACATGGGAGGCGCAGCAGCCCATGCTGGCTGCTGTGTTTCCCCTCTTGGCCCAATAGGCCCAAATCTTGGCCGGGGGTTGCCCGGAACCCCTTCCGGTGACCCGATATGTACCCGGTACCCCCGGAACATTTCCGGTGTCCGAATATCATTGTCCTATATATAATATATATATATATATATAATATGAATATTTACCTCTGGCCATTTCGAGACTCCTCGTCATGTCCGTGATCTCGTCCGGGACTCCGAACAATATTCGGTTACCAAATCACATAACTCATATAATACAAAATCGTCATCGAACGTTAAGCGTGCGGACCCTACAGGTTCGAGAACTATGTAGACATGACCGAGACACCTCTCCGGTCAATAACCAACAACGGAACCTGGATGCTCATATTGGTTCCCACATATTCTACTAAGATCTTTATCGGTCGTACCGTAATGACAACATGCGTTATTCCCTTTGTCATCGGTATGTTACTTGCCCGAGATTCGATCGTCGATATCTTCATACATAGTTCAATCTCGTTACCGGCAAGTCTCTTTACTCATTTTGTAATGCATCATCATGCAACTAACTCATTACTCACATTGCTTCCAAGGATTATCATGATGTGCATTACCGAGAGGGCCTAGAGATACCTCTCCGATACTCAGAGTGACAAATCCTAATCTTGATCTATGCCAACCCAACAAACACCTTCGGATATACCTGTAGAGCATCTTTATAATCACCCAGTTACGCTGTGACGTTTGATAGCACACAAGGTATTCCTCCAGTATTCGGGAGTTGCATAATCTCATAGTCGAAGGAATATGTATTTGACATGAAGAAAGAAATAACAATAAAACTTAACGATCATTATGCTAAGCTAACGGATGGGTCTGGTCCATCACATCATTCTCCTAATAATGTGACCTCGTTCATCAAATGACAACACATGTTTATGGTTAGGAAACTTAACCATCTTTGATCAATGAGCTAGTCCAGTAGAAGCTTACTAGGGACACTGTGTTTTGTCTATGTATCCACACATGTATCAAGTTTCCGGTTAATACAATTCTAGCATGAATAATAAACATTTATAATGATATAAGGAAATATAATAACAATTTTATTATTGCCTCTAGGGCATATTTCCTTCAGTCTCCCACTTGCACTAGAGTGTTTGAAAAGTTGCAGAGGTTTGAAAATCAGGGGCTAATCTGCGATAAAAATAATCGCGAATAGGTCCCTGGCCAAAAAATAAAATGAAAAGAAAAAGTACGGAACGAATGTTCGTTATCAGGGACAAACGAACGAATACGTTCGCTAACAGAAACGTTCGGACGAATGTTCGCTAGTTAGCGAACTCGAAAAAAACTGATCTAACCGATCTAAATCGA